GTACAGGCTGGTCAAAAAGTGAATTACCTTTTTTCCGCATTCAATGGCCAGAAAGTGAAAATTTTAAATGGTAAGCCCCATATTTTATTAGCTATTTTTATTAAGACATGATATTTTGGCAGTTTTTCGTTTAATTTGTTTTTACAATTAACTTTGATTGATAATCTTTTAGTTCACTATGTTTTATTTACCAAAAATAACAAATAGAAGAACAAGTAAATGAATCAATGAAAACAAAAATTAGGTTTGGGTAAAAAATTTAATTCTCTCTCTGCTAGGTTAAAAAAAATATGTACCATATAAAATTTTTAGCTGTCTTGCCATTAAATATGGAGAAAAGACAATTCAATTTTTGACCGTCCTGTATAAGATACTCTGATACAACAAATAACAATCTATTTGATGTCATCTGAAGAGTAATCGTACCAAGTTAGAGCTTTCTTGAATAAATATTGGCTGAGATATGAGGTTTTAAAAGCGTGGTGAAATTTACCAAACAAAAACTTAAAATCAAAATAACTCGAAAACGAAAAATGTTAGGTACCAGTAACTTTTATCAAAGTCGACATATTTTTTCGCACATAATTAAAAGGTGCAATAAAAACTATACCATTCCATTTAAAATAACGAAGTTAAGGTCTACTTCCGGGAGACCGGAAGTGGCCACCATCTTGAAAATGCTTTAGATCGAAAGATCGATATGAACCTCCCATATAAGCTAAATCAGAGACGTTAAAGCAATGGAACAGAAATAAAACGGGTGTTGCTGACTTTTTGGCGGGCACTGTATACAAGGTGTTCCGGTGACTCGGGGCATAAAATTAACCTTATATACTAGAGCAAAAATGATGACGATTCGTGAAAAAAAATTATTATAAAAGTCTTCAAATGGCCAAGATATGGGCCATCAAAGTTCAGAAATTTTAACACATTTTTCTAAATATTTTCAATACCATTTATGGTAGAGCTTATTTATGGAGATTTATATTATTTAGGAGAGAATTTATGAAATTTGGAACATGGTAAACAAATATCAACCAAATCATTGAACCAATTTTGCCTTTGATCTGGCGGCGGCAACCATGCTATACAGGGTAAAGAAACTTTGATCCGCTATATCTCGCCAACGAGGCATTTGCGACCTCATGTATATTAAGACTATTCATCTTAATTTTTCATGTATTATCTACTCTAGAAGTCTGTCAGCGGTTTTTTGAATCACCCTGTATATTTTATTTGCTATTGTTTTGTATTATTTTTTATTATTATTATGGTTTTGCTTTTTATTCTTGTTTCTTTTGTTTTCTGATTTTTTAATTACTCAGTTTAGTTATTATAGTTTATTTAATTTATTGCTACAATGTCGAACAATTTTGTTATTTTAGTGTAACAATTAAGTGGTATTAATGTTTTAGGTTTAGCACCTGTTTTGTACCCTACTGATAACTAAATAAATAAATATCTGTGCTTATAAGTGCGTTATTTAACGTTTTTTCCGATAAATATTTTATAGCAACGAATAATTTCCTGCTTGATAAACCAGTTTTCTGTCTCTCTTATACTTATACTTTGTCTCCTTGTATATCCGTACCGTGGTCCAGTTTTTCCTTGTCTTCAAAAGTCTCCACGACGGATCTCGTGGAATGAAGCGCGTTTTTTTCTATATTATCCCGTTTTTCTTTTTTTTTGTATTTTTGTCTAATTTTCTCTCACTTAAGACCGCAATGCCTGCTTGCAAATGTAATACTAAATGTAAAGATCTGAGTGCTAAAGTTCAGTCTTTGTCTGATTCAGTTAAGAATATGAATGACAGTTCGACCAATCATCCCTCGTCTGATGTAGACTTTTTGATTAACATAGGGAATTTGTCACAGTCTTCATCTGCTGGGGTGGGTTGCAGTCAAACAAGAAAATCTAAGCCGAGACTTATTAACGTTGTACTGAAAAGTAAGGCTGATGTCCTTTCATTGTTGAGTAAATCAAGAAATCTACGAACTTTAAAAGCACTTACATTCGTCATGATCGAACTCCCAATGAGCAATTATATGATCGAAATCTTCGTGCTGAGCTTGCTAGACGTACCGAGCTCGGAGAAAATGATCTAGAAATGATACATCAATGGTATACCAGTTATAAGCAAATCAACAAGAAGTCAGAAAAACTGAATACCACACAACAGAGCTTGTATTAACTTTATTATCAAAATAACGACCTTGGCTTAATCTGGAGAAACCATCTAGTTCTATCTTAACCAGGCGAAGTTGTAGATTTTCGATTCTGCCGAGGTCGCTTGCGGCCGAAGTTCTGGGATGTGTTTAACATTTTTAGGTTCATACAGCATTAAATATAAAGCCTCAGCCTCAAGCGACCTCTGCTTAATCAGGTGAAATCATCTATTTCTATCATAACCAAGCAAAGTCGTAGATTTTTTATTTTATGTGTAGCCCAGGTCCCTTGCGGCCAAGGTTCTGCTCTATATTGAACATTTTTGGGTTCATAAAGCATTAAACATAGAGCTTCGGCCGTAAGCGACCTCGGCTTAATCTGGTGAAACCATTTAGTTCTATCATAACAAGGCGAAATTATAGATTTTCGATTCCAAGTTCAGCCGAGGTCGCTAGCAGCCGAGGTTATGCAATCTGTTTAACATTTTTGGGTTCACACAACATTAAACATAGAGCCTCCGCCGCAAGCCACCTCAGCTTAGTCTGGTGAAACCATCTAGTTCTATCATAACCGGGCAAAGTTGTAGGTTTTTGAATCCAATTTTAGCCGAGGTCGCTTGCGACCGAGGTTCTGCTCTATATTTAACATTTTTGGGTTCATAAAGCATTAAACATAGAGCCTCTGCCGCAAGCGACCTCGGCTTAATCAGATGAAATCATCCATTTCTATCATAACCAGGCGAATTCGTAGATTTTCAATTTTAAGTTTAGCCGAGATCACTTGCGGCCGAGGCTCTGCAATTGATGTAATTTCAATCCCTACTTAAAGATTCTTTTCTTAACTATAGTATACAAGCAAATATTTGAATTATGTATGTTACTGTAAAATCCCGAACTACGGCAAATCCTAAGATTTTCCACCGAAACCTAACATTTACCAACTCTGAATGGTAAAACTCCGAAATGTTCTGTGATCATGGTTCATTTCGAACTTTTACCACCTTTTACCACTTTTATACGGTAAATGTCGAAAAATAGACGCGTATAGACATGTTTGCGCACGTTTGTTTTGATTTTTGTTTGACTATAGGCGGCGAAGAAAATCTAATTACGCTGATGAAGGAAGGGAATGAAGAAATCAAGTATTACGTTTGCTGTATGTTGCTGTTGGACACGGTGGAAGGACAGGGGTGCTTAAGGAATGTACCGCAGATATAAAAATGTAACAGTTGAGACTATTATGACATATTTGAAGCTGTGCCAACCTTATCAAAAAAAAACAGAAGAGTTTGAAAAGGGCATTGTCATCAAGCCTATACTTCATAGTGAAATGAACTCACGTTGTCAAGTAGATCTAATAGTTCTACAACCTAACCCTGATGGAAATTATAAATTCATTTTAGTTTATCAAGACCATCTTACTAAATTTCAATCTAAACGCGCAGTAGAAGTTGGTTATTTTCACCACTTTTGGAGCTCGGAACATCTTTCATTCCGATAATAGTGGAGAATTTTGTAACCAAGTTATTGAAATTTTATGCTCTACTATGTGGCCGAACGTTAAAATAGTATATGGGAAGCCCAGACAGAGTCAAAGTCAAGGATCAGTAGAGCAGGGATGGAAACAAACCATTTAACAAAGTGGTCAGGGGGTTTGAAATTCATACAGGCGATGAAAAGTAGAGCATATCACGAGAGAATAAAATATTCCCCCTACGAAGCAATGTTTGGCTATTGGTAAAAGCCAGAAAAATTATCTCTTGTTTAAAAATCTTCACATTTACCAACCCATGTTGGTAAATCTTAAGATTTACTAGTTAAACCTAAGATTTACCGTAACATATATATTAATATATTATAAACATTACATACCCATCTTTAAAACAATGTGCAGCTGTTAAAACAAAACTATCAGAAACTATTGATCCACCACAAACAGTTTCATTTTGATAAATAAGCTGTACTAACCACGGATATTCATGGGGAGTGGTTTTCTCACCACCTATTACTCTCGAATATAAACCATAAGGGCGAGATTTTTCATTAGCTACGCCACAATCTATTCAAAAATAAAAGGGAATTAATTTAATAATTAAAATATTAAAAAAATAAATAAATTACCACAATCAACATCATATTTTTGTAAAAAGTTGTGATAATCATATAAAGTTTTACTTTCCAATGAAAACGAACCCATCTAAAAACGAAACAAATTAAAAAAAATAATTTGATAATAAGATAAAAAAAGAAAATTAATTACTTACAAATACACTAAATAAAGTGTAATAAAATTTTAACCACATCATCTCTATGCGAAACCAAAGTAAACAGTGGCGTTAAAAAACCCCATTAAACGTTGATGATTTTGACCCGCACGTATTACGTAAAAAGAACTTTTATTATCACCAATAGCAAAAGCACATTGTATTGGTTTATTTTACTTCCCTTTTGTACTTTCATTGTTGGGTTATGTAATTTAACCGAGTTAAGTCGTGATGTCGGTAGACATCAAGCCGTTCTAATAAGTTATTAACACTGATTCTTGTACAAAATCATTAAGGAAAAGGAAGTTCAAAAACAGGTGTATTAAGATTTATCGATGTTGGTTAATCATTAATCTTTGTGTCGTTGTAAAATTTAAATTTACTTCATCAAAATGTTTCTTTTAATTGCAATTTCCTTTGATTGGAAAATTCTAAAAGAATTTGAAATTATAAAAGAATAAAAAAAATTTGTCCCAGTTTAATATGTAGACCACAAAAGGTATTTGGTGGTAATGATAGGAATTCCAAGGATTCCTTTTTAATATGTTCAAACTAACATGTACTCGGTTTTACATTTAAATGAAACAGTCGCATTAAAAACATGAACAAAATAAGGTGTGGATTCGTTTTGTTTTTACTATTTACAAAAAAATTAAGTAAGAAATACGATAATTTACAAAGTATTTTTTTTTAAATAGCTTTTTAGGGGGTGATGATCAGTGTGGTGTACCAATTGGAAGTGTAATCGATGGAAAAATAGTGGGAGGATACGATTTGGGTTATTTCAAATACCCCTGGTTCGTTTCTCTATTAGAAGACGGTGAACCAAGTTGTGGAGGAACGTTAGTTTCGAAAAAAATTGTCGTAACCGCAGCTCACTGTTTCGATTCATATTTGCGACCGCAAAGAGATCGCTCAATCACATTGGAGAAAGCCTTCGAGTACAAATTAGGCGTCTACAATAACTGTATGCCACACGAAAAAAGTCAACAATCGTTTAAAGCGACGAAAGTGTACGTTCACGAAAAGTATTTCGAAAAAGATCCGTATTACGATATAGCTGCGGTTAAATTGAACCGAGAAGCCAGCGATTTCCAACCGTGTTGTTTACCATCAAAAGGTGAATTCAAAAATTTTTGTTATGTACTAAATATTATTATTCGTTTTGTATTAGTAATGAAAGAAAGTCGTCGTCCAAAAGAAGCTTTAGTAACCGGATTGGGAGAACTAAAATTTAACAGTAGAGATACTCCTTGTACAGTTCACGAAGCTCGGGTTTTAATGTATCCAGATAAAACTTGTAGGAGTATGTTGAATCAAGCAGATGGGACTGGGAAGAAACTTAAAGGAGCTTTTTGCGCCGGTTATCTTTCCGGTGGAATAGACAGCTGTCGAGGGGATAGTGGAGGTCCTCTTATCGCCTTAGGACCAAACAGTCGTTATTATCTTATTGGTAATTTAAAGCAAATTTAGTTAATAATTAACATTTGGAACATCATTTCTTTAAAGCTGAACTATAATTTTTTGAATCAACTTTGTTATGGTAATATATCTTGATGTATCTCAAAAACTAATTGAGATATTGTTATAAAACAATAAGTAGCTTAAAGCAAATTTAATGGAGATTTAATGCACCATAAATAGTTTCTTATTTTCCATAAACATCGTTGTAATGATTTTTTAAATCCACCCTTGCATGTTTGACCGTGATAGAGTGAAATATAAATTTTAAAACATCGTATCTCAAAAACGAATGGAGATATCGTCATGCAATAAAAAGCAATTTAAAGCAAATTTAGTCAGTAATCAACATTTTGAAGATCATTTCTTTAAACCTTCAAATTTCGGAGCTGTAATTTTTTAATTGCAACCTTGCAAAATCTTTAACGTAAATGTTGGGCTAATTAATCTTGATGTATCTCAAAAACTAATTGAGATATTGTTATGAAACAAAAAGCAAATTTAATGAAGATTTAATACAAAAAAAATAAACTATTATTTTCCATAAACATCATTGTTGCGATTTTTTAAATCCAATCTTGCATGTTTGATTATTATAGATGTGAAATATAAATTTTAAAAAATCGTATGTCAAGAACTAATGGAGATATCATCATGAAATAAAAAGCAATTTAAAGCAAATTTTGTTAGTAATCAACATTTTGAGAATCATTTTTTCAAACCTACAAGTTTCGGGGCTATGATTTTTTAGTTGCAACCTTGCATCACCTCAAAAATAAATGTTAGGGTAATTAATCTTGACGTATCTCAAAAACTAATTGAAATATTATTATGAAATAAAAAGCAACTTAAAGCAAATTTGATGAATATTTAATGCACCATAAATAATTTTTTATTTTCCATAAACATCGTTGCTATGATTTTTTAAATCCAACTCTGCATGTTTGATAGTGATAGAGTGAAATATAAATTTTAAAACATCGTATCTCAAAAACGAATGGAGATATCGTCATGAACTTAAAAGCAATTTAAAGCAAATTTAGTTAGTAATCAACATTTGGAACATCATTTCTTTAAACCTTCAAATTTCGGAGCTATGATTTTTTAATTGCAACCATGCATCACCTCAAAAATAAATGTTAGGGTAATTAATCTTAACGTATCTCAAAAACTAATTGAGATATTGTTATGAAATAAAAAGCAGCTTAAGGCAAATTTAATGAAGATTTAATACACCATAAATAATTTCTTATTTTCCATAAACATCGTTGCTATGATTTTTTAAATCCAACTCTGCATGTTTGATAGTTATAGAGCGAAATACAAATTTTAAAACATCGTATCTCAAAAACGAATGAAGATATCATGATGAAATAAAAAACAATTTAAAGCGAATTTAGTTAGTAACCAACATTTTGAAGATCATTTTTTCAAACCTTTAAATTTCGGAGCTATGATTTTTTGATGCAACCTTGCACAACCTTAAACGTACACGTTAGGGTAATTAATCTTGACGTATCTCAAAAACTAATTGAGATATTATTATGAAATTAAAAGCAACTTAAAGCAAATTTAATGAATATTTAATACACCATAAATAATTTATTATTTTCCATAAACATCGTTGTTATGATTTTTTAAATCCAACTTTGCATGTTTGATTGTTATAGTTGTGAAATATAAATTTAAAAAAATCGTATCTCAAAAACTAATGGAGATATCACCATGAAATAAAAAACAATTTAAAGCAAATTTTGTTAGTAATCAAAATTTTGAAGATCATTTTTTCAAACCTTCAAATTTCGGAGCTATGATTTTTTAATTGCAACCTTGCATAACCTTAAACGTACACGTTAGGGTAATTAATCTTGACGTATCTCAAAAAGTAATTGAGATATTCTTATAAAACAAAAAGCAGCTTACAGCAAATTTAATGCACCATAAATAATTTCTTCTTTTCCATAAACATCGTTGTTATGATTTTTTAAATCCAACCTTGCGTGTTTGTTAATTATTTACTTTTTTTAAGGTATAACATCTTTTGGTTTTGATTGCGCCCAACCAAAAAGGTTAGGAATTTACACCGATGTGAGTAAATATTTAGGTTGGTTAAGAGCAATTATAGATGAAAGACCTGGACCATCAACTCCTCGTCCATCAGGAACAGATTGGTCAAAATACCCAGCAACACCATGGATTCCCTTACCAATAACTTTTCCACCATGTAAATGTTAATATTGAATTTATAATTTATTTTTTAACGAATTTATTTATTAGGGCAAACTTTACCACCGGATTACGATAAAGAACCCATAGATGAAAATCCCAATAAACCAGCATCATCAGAACACCACAACAGACCTGTAGTGATTATTATTAACAAGAAGAAATTAAATTCAACGAAACACGGACGTCACAAAGAAATAAAACATAAAGATCCTTAAAATTGTTCAATTTAATTTTGGTTTTATGATTTTAATTATAAATTTAATCAAGTGTTAAATTAACTATTGTTGATTAAGTGTGACAAGATGCATAAAAAGTTTTAATTGTAACAAATCAAGTTTTAAAAAATGTTTTCGTACCCGATTTTAATTTCAGCTTTAACTCAAATCGTAAGTAGGATTTAAATAATTTAAAAGTTCTAATTAAAAAAGTTTTAATTAAAAGGTTTTTGGTGTAACTTTATTGGATTGTAGTAAGTATGAATATTCAATTAAAAANTGAAATAAAAAGCAGCTTCAAGCAAATTTAATGAAATAATTTCTTATTTTCCATAAACATCGTTGCTATGATTTTTTAAATCCAACTCTGCATGTTTGATAGTGATAGAGAGAAATATAAATTTTAAAACATCGTATCTCAAAAACGAATGGAGATATCATCATGAACTAAAAAGCAATTTAAAGCAAATTTAGTCAATAATCAACATTTTGAAGATCATTTTTTCAAACCTTCAAATTTCGGAACTATGAGTTTTAGTTGCAACCTTGCATCACCTCAAAGGTAAATGTTAGGGTAATTAATCTTGATGTATCTCGAAAAGTAATTGAGATACTGTTATGAAACAGTAAGCAGCTGAAAGCAAATTTAATGAAGATTTAATGACCATAACTAATTTCTTATTTTCCATAAACATCGTTGTTACGATTTTTTAAATCCAACTCTGCATGTTTGATCGTTATAGAGCGAAATACAAATTTTAAAACATCGTATCTCAAAAACGAATGAAGATATCATGATGAAATAAAAAACAATTTAAAGCGAATTTAGTTAGTAACCAACATTTTGAAGATCATTTTTTCAAACCTTCAAATTTCGGAGCTATGATTTTTTGATCGCAACCTTGAATAACTTTAAATGTAAATGTTAGGGTAATTAAACTTGACGTACCTCATAAACTAATTGATATATTGCTATGAAATAAAAAGCAGCTTAAAGCAAATTTAATGCACCATAAATAATTTCTTCTTTTCCATAAACATCGTTGTTATGATTTTTTAAATTCAACCTTGGATCCATTGTTATAGAGTGAGATATAAACTTTAAATAATTGTATCTCAAGAACCAATGGGGATATCATCATGAAATAAAAAGCAATTTAAAGCAAATTTAGTCAGTAATAAACATTTTGAAGATCATTTTTTCAAACCTTCAAATTTCGGAACTATGATTTTTTAATTGCAACCTTGCATAATCTTTAACGTAAATGTTAGGGTAATTTATCTTAACATATCTCAAAAACTTATTGAGATATTGTTATGAAATAAAAAGCAGCTGAAAGCAAATTTAATGAACATTTAATGCACCATAAATAATTTCTTATTTCCCATAAACATCTTTGTTATGATTTTTTAAATCCAACTCTGCATGTTTGATCGTTATAAAGTGAAATATAAATTTTAAAACATCGTATTTCAAAAACGAATGAAGATATCGTCATGGCATAAAAAGCAATTTAAAGCAAATTTAGTTAGTAATCAACGTTTGGAACATCATTTCTTTAAACCTTCAAATTTCGGAGCTATGATTTTTTAATTGCAACCTTGCATAATCTTTAACGTAAATGTTAGTGTAATTAATCTTAACGTATCTCAAAAACTAATTGAGATATTGTTATGAAATAAAAAGCAGCTTAAAGCAAATTTAATGAAGATTTAATACACCATAAATAATTTCTTATTTTCCATAAACATCGTTGCTATGATTTTTTAAATCCAACTCTGCATGTTTGATCGTTATAGAGTGAAATATAAATTTTAAAGTATCGTATCTCAAAAACGAATGAAGATATCGTCATGAAATAAAAAGCAATTTAAAGCAAATTTAGTCAGTAATCAACATTTTGAAGATCATTTTTTCAAACCTTCAAATTTCGGAGCTATGATTTTTTAATTGCATCCTTGCATAACCTTAAATGTAAATGTTAGAGTAATTAATCTTGACGTATCTCAAAAACTAATTGAGATATTGTTATGAAATAAAAAGCAGCTTCAAGCAAATTTAATGAAGATTTAATGCACCATAAATAATTTCTTATTTTCCATAAGCATCGTTGTTATAATTTTTAAATCCCACTCTGTATGTTTGATTGTTGTAGATGTGAAATAAAAACTTTGAACAATCGTATCTCAAAAACGAATTGAGATATTGTTATGAAATAAAAAGCAGCTTGAAGCAAATTTAATGAAGATTTAATGCACCATAAATAAGTTCTTATTTTCCATAAACATTGTTGTTATGATTTTTTAAATCCAACTCTACATGTTTGATCGTGATAGAGTGAAATATAAATTTTAAAACATCGTAGCCCAAAAACGAATGGAGATATCGGCATGAAATAAAAAACAATTTAAAGCAAATTTAGTTAGTAACCAACATTTTGAAGATCATTTTTTCAAACCTTTAAATTTCGGAGCTATGATTTTTTGATGCAACCTTGCACAACCTTAAACGTACACGTTAGGGTAATTAATCTTGACGTATCTCAAAAACTAATTGAGATATTATTATGAAATTAAAAGCAACTTAAAGCAAATTTAATGAATATTTAATACACCATAAATAATTTTTTATTTTCCATAAACATCGTTGTTATGATTTTTTAAATCCAACTCTGTATGTTTGATTGTTATAGATGTGAAATATAAGCTTGAAAATATCGTATCTTAAAAACGAATGGAGATATCACCATGAAATAAAAAGCAATTTAAAGCAAATTTAGTTAGTAATCAACATTTGGAATATCATTTCTTTAAACCTTTAAATTTCTGAGCTATGATTTTTTGATTCAACCTTACATAATCTTAAATGTAAATGTTAGGGTAATTAATCTTGACGTATCTCAAAAACTAAGTGAGATATTGTTATGAAATAAAAAGCAGCTTCAAGCAAATTTAATGAAATAATTTCTTATTTTCCATAAACATCGTTGCTATGATTTTTTAAATCCAACTCTGCATGTTTGATAGTGATAGAGAGAAATATAAATTTTAAAACATCGTATCTCAAAAACGAATGGAGATATCATCATGAACTAAAAAGCAATTTAAAGCAAATTTAGTCAATAATCAACATTTTGAAGATCATTTTTTCAAACCTTCAAATTTCGGAACTATGAGTTTTAGTTGCAACCTTGCATCACCTCAAAGGTAAATGTTAGGGTAATTAATCTTGATGTATCTCGAAAAGTAATTGAGATACTGTTATGAAACAGTAAGCAGCTGAAAGCAAATTTAATGAAGATTTAATGACCATAACTAATTTCTTATTTTCCATAAACATCGTTGTTACGATTTTTTAAATCCAACTCTGCATGTTTGATCGTTATAGAGCGAAATACAAATTTTAAAACATCGTATCTCAAAAACGAATGAAGATATCATGATGAAATAAAAAACAATTTAAAGCGAATTTAGTTAGTAACCAACATTTTGAAGATCATTTTTTCAAACCTTCAAATTTCGGAGCTATGATTTTTTGAATCAACCTTGCATAACCTTAAACGTGAATGTTAGGGTAATTAATCTTGACGTATCTCAAAAACTAATTGAGATATTGTTATGAAATAAAAAGCAACTTAAAGCAAATTTAATGAATATTTAATGCACCATAAATAATTTTTTAGTTTCCATAAACATCGTTGTTATGATTTTTTAAATCCAACTCTGCATGTTTGATTGTTATAGATGTGAAATATAAGCTTTAAACAATCGTATCTTAAAAACGAATGAAGATATCACCATGAAATAAAAAGCAATTTAAAGTAAATTTACTTAGTAATCAACGTTTGGAACAACATTTCTTTAAACCTTCAAATTTTGGAGCTATGATTTTTTGATTCAACCTTGCATAAACTTAAATGTAAATGTTAGGCTAATTAATCTTGATGTATCTGAAAAACTAATTGAGATATTGTTATGAAACAACAAGCAGCTTAAAGCAAATTTAATGAAGATTTAATGCACCACAAATAATTTTTTATTTTCCATAAATATCATTGTTATGATTCTTTAAATCTAACTCTGCATGTTTGATTGTTATAGATGTGACATATAAACTTTAAAAAATGGTATCTCAAAAACGAATAAATNAAATTTCGGAGCTATGATTTTTTGATGCAACCTTGCACAACCTTAAACGTACACGTTAGGGTAATTAATCTTGACGTATCTCAAAAACTAATTGAGATATTATTATGAAATTAAAAGCAACTTAAAGCAAATTTAATGAATATTTAATACACCATAAATAATTTTTTATTTTCCATAAATATCGTTGTTATGATTTTTTAAATCCAACTCTGTATGTTTGATTGTTATAGATGTGAAATATAAGCTTGAAAATATCGTATCTTAAAAACGAATGGAGATATCACCATGAAATAAAAAGCAATTTAAAGCAAATTTAGTTAGTAATCAACATTTGGAATATCATTTCTTTAAACCTTTAAATTTCTGAGCTATGATTTTTTGATTCAACCTTACATAATCTTAAATGTAAATGTTAGGGTAATTAATCTTGACGTATCTCAAAAACTAAGTGAGATATTGTTATGAAATAAAAAGCAGCTTCAAGCAAATTTAATGAAATAATTTCTTATTTTCCATAAACATCGTTGCTATGATTTTTTAAATCCAACTCTGCATGTTTGATAGTGATAGAGAGAAATATAAATTTTAAAACATCGTATCTCAAAAACGAATGGAGATATCATNAAAAAATTAATTTGTTTTTATTTAGAATGCGGCGTGGAAGAATTTTCCCAAAGAATATTCGGCGGAATTGAAACGAAAGAAAATCAATACCCATGGATAATTTATATGGAATTTGATAAAGAAAAATATTGCGGTGGGGTCTTGATAAATAATTTATATGTTTTGACGTCGGGGCATTGCGTGGATGAGTTAAAATTAAATTTTAAACTTAAATTAAACACCCACAACCGATTCTCATCGAACCAAATTATTCTAAACCAAAAAAATATAATAAGACATCCTAATTACGCAAAGGAATCAACGAATAACATCATTAACGACTTGGCTTTGATCAAATTGGAGACTCCGATTAATTTCGAAGATAAAATATACCCAATTTGTTTACCACATCCGTGTATGTACATTAAAAAAATTAATTCGTGTATAATTTAATTTTCATTTAGCTTCTGATTACACGAGAAAAATCGGTTCGATTTTGGGATGGGGGTTAAACGAAAATGCAACGACTTCCAACGTATTAAAACGAGGAGAGGTTCAAATCATGTCTGAAGATTACTGTTTAAAATCGATGGTGGGAAAGTTTTATCACGAATCGATGTTGTGTGGATTTAGCAATTCAAGTGATGCGTGTCAAGTATTTTTTAAGAAATATTTATTATCTTAAATAATAAATTAAATAAATTTTATTAGGGTGATAGCGGAGGTCCTCTTTTCTATCAAAATTCCGATGGTCAACACGAACTTATTGGTTTGATTTCTTGGGGATTTCTTTGCGGAACTGAAATGCCGGGAATTTACACAAAAATTGCTCATTTCATGGATTGGATCGAAAAGAATACGGAAGATGCTGGATATTGTAATGTTTGAATTGTTATAATATAATAATATGATATAATATAATCTTTATTATCCCAATGGATTACAATCAAATGAAGAGGTAATGTTACAATAAACCAAGGACAGTAAAATCTAACAGAACTGCTACATCTATTGTTGTTTTGTAGCCTACTACGGGTTGGTTGCCCGCACTCTACGTCACACTATATGCCACGCCCAATTAACTGTCATTGAGTTCTATACGTTTGCTGTGTGTTTGTAGAGGTTATATGATAGACATTAATACGTCTAAAAAATTAAAACTTTAATACGTCTACGATATAACCTCTAAAAATACTAACTGAGCGTGGAAAATGGTGTAACGAAGTGTACGGGCACATTGTCACAACAATGAATGTAGCAGTCCTGTTAGATTCTACTGTTCTTGACAATAAACGGATAATTGATTCCAACAAAAAATGAAAAAAAGTGTTATTCGCCTGAATTAGCTGCACGCATTAGTCTGTTTATCGGGGAATTTAGACCTATATTTGTGTGAGCGGGATAAATAAAGGCACTACAAACACAGTCAAGACTTCCGATGCAACCAGCACACGACATCACATCCCGCATAGACCCAGCAAACAACACTCTTCTTCGATCCTCAACACTCTATGGAGGCCATAACGTCGTAGTAGATGTACATAATTCAATTCTCCTCTAGGAGGAAAACAGCCAAAATCGAGGAAGTGAATAATAAACCTAACGAATTTACTTTGAACTTTCTCGATGGTGACAATGGGCAATGCAGCAATATTTAAGATTGCTACGAAGTAGCGTAAAATAAAGATCTATTATTGTTTTTAAATCAGTAAACTCCAAACGATTTCTTGTCATAAACTTTAGCGTGCCAAGGGCACTTTTGATGCATTATATCATTTTTGGCAAAAATGACGACGTTATATGCACAGCAAAAGGGCGAATGAAAGTATGGTTTCATATGCACGGGACAAAACAATTTTAAAAGGAAAGCCGATACGATACAGTTACAAGATATGGTGCCTCTGCGAACCTCTTAAGTATTTGATGCAATTTGAACCATACCAAGGAAAAAAACAGACGAGATAAAATGCAGCTGATAAAGAAGAAAATACGACAACCACCAAAAAAGTGAGGAAACCAACTATGATAAAAGTGCTGACTGATAAACGTTTTACCAAAACAAACTAGTAACTGATTTAGAGAAAGAAGATATGGATGTACGGAAACTATCAAATAAAATAGAATTGAAGTGTCCCGTAATACATTCAAAAGTGGTAGAAAAGAAATACAGAGGTTTCTATGACTATTGTACAGAGTTGCCAATAAACTATTGACAACAACAACAGCAACAACTTTTTCCTTCCAATCCATCGCATAGCATAATCTCGATCTACAGCTCCACGTGCAATATGTGAAAAATGTGCTGGACACCCATCATTTTGCAGACACATATTTTCTCTTTGTTCCCTGCTCAAATCTACAAGTAACGTTGGTAAGACGTCATCTAAAAAATTTCGGTACTTCTCCCCATTCAGCATACCATCAACAAGGTCGTTGATGTTCTACTTCACGCAACCATCTCGGATTTTCAACGCTCCAATAGTGCATGTTATGTCCGAGAATAGCGCGTTACCAAAGAAATTGACGTCCAACCACATTCGTTCTTGTGCCCATTGACAAAATATTAATTGATTTTGAAAATCACCTCTATAAAGCTGTTGATGCAATGAAATGTGGTATGGGTGGTACTTGTTGCGCCTTAATATTCTTAGAATGCTGGTCTTCGATATTCCGGCGTCAATTGCAAGTCATCGAGCGCTAACTTGAGGATTTTTTCAATACAAAGCTATACTATCAGCAACTTTTCTGCCACTTTCTCCATAAATAAAAATCATTTCGACTTTTTCTGCCATACTTACAGTGTCCATGATTTAATGACTTAGTTTAAACACTTTGCCTTAATGTAAAACGATGGAATGAATTCAGAATTTGTTGCCAAGCAGTTTTTATGCAAATTTAGTTTTACTTGTTACATTTTAAAACAATTCAACCAATTAAGTCTCTGAAAGCGATATTCTGAAAATGCCGACATAAGCAGTTCCACGAACTCGTTTTTATGCGTTTTTCTATTATCAAATTGACAAAGACAGAGAAATGTCGGAACCTTTTAGACCTCTTTCCAAAGGTATTCCAAATCTGGTTCCGACGAGCCAGATCACCCGATATACCTCTTCTGGATTTTTTTTGTTGAACATTCTTAAATAGTATTCTAAGAATTAAGAACTAAAGACAATGTATCGAAGCGGGTAGGAAAATAATTGTTTAAAACTTTATAAATCTTATTTGTTCTTGCTAGATTATAAACGTTAGTTAATTGTTTCTGAAGAAGGTTCAATTTTTTCAAAAGTTGTTTTGCCGTTGTACTTGACAAAACCACACAGTAAAATTTTTTTATTTTTTTTTTTAATTACTTTATTTTTATCCACAGATTTAGATTTTATAATAAAATATATAGGGTGCCATTTAAAAAATGCTCGTGACCTTCATATAACCTTGAAAATAAGGTCAAGGTCAAAAAATGTAATATATGGTTTCCCACTTCGTACAGAACAACTTTTATTTAGTTCATTTTTATGTAAAATGAACCGTTTACGAGATAATCGCTTGTCTCACATTAAATGGTCCATCCTGTATAATAAACCGTAGTCATCGTCATTGACACTTTCTCCTGTGTCGCTAGCAGATTGTTCTACAATATAATCCGGATCTTCATCAAAAGTATCGCCGAAAACATCTTCTTCATCGCCATTGTTGCCGCTACACTTCTTACAATCCTCATCTTGTCATATCTTCTCGATTTCGATAAGTAACTCCTTTTCACTCAATGTATGTCGGTTTTTGTAACTTGAGCACGCCATTTTCTGAATAAAGTTAGATTTCACTCCGAAACTAAACACTAATGTCAAATCTCCGCATGTGCTGCTTAAACCACTAGTGTGCTGGGTAACTCAGACCCCAGTGTGCAGTTCTAGGGTTATAAACAGGGCAAACTCTGCTCAACTTCCAGACTTTTGGCAGAGACTGTAATATACAGGAGCACAGTCTTTGACTATATACAGGGTGTTTCATAATATATGCGCAGGACTTCAGGATGTGATAACTTGTCCAAAAATTTGAAAAAAGTTTCTATCAACTTACCATTATAATCATGTACGCGGATGACACCTCCTTTGCTGTTACTGCTGATGATCCGGCTGGATTGGTCGAGAAAGTTGATCAGGTAACGAAGTGTTTTGCGGACTGGTGTATCCGCAATAGAATAATACTGAATGTGAAAAAGACGGCGTGAATTTTCGTGTTCGTCGCCCGGTAACCCTAAATTACGTTGATGGGATTAACATTCAGGATGAAACAATTTTCTTGGGTCTGTGTGTTGATGCCAATCTAACCTTTGAGTCACATGTTAGCAACGTTTGCAAAAAGTTAACTTCAAGCAAAATTAAATTCAGCAATAGCTTCTGGATGCTTATTATGCTCTACGTTATTCTCATCTTGCATATAATAACCTCTTATGGACCAGAGCTGCAGATTGGCGTCGTGTGTTCGTTGTGCAAAAGCGAATTATCTACGGATTGGAAGTTGGTGAGTCGTGTAGGGTGGCATTTTGACGTTCCCTTGTATTTACATTCTAAAAGCCGTTGAAAAATAATCGAGATAGGTTCGTGGGGTCAACGGTTAATAAATATGGTACGAGACACGACCGCCTGCCGCTATTGCGACACAAAACAGCGTTTTTTGAGAGAAGTCCACAATATGACTTTGCAAAGTTATTTAATAAATTGCCCTTATCAATTAAAGTCATCGAGTCACCAATGTTATTCAAAAAGAAAGTAAAAAATTACCTCATTGAAAATGTGTTCTACAGCCTGCACGAGTATCTCTCTGGCAGCCGAATCGAATAACGAGTGTATTGCTGTTTTTCCTTTTTTCAATACTTAAAATTATCATTTTATATTAAGGATAATTTCGCAAGGAAATACCTAACACACTGCTCATGGATTAATTATTAGTGATGGGACGGTATTTGAGGAACGGTATTTTGGAGCGGTATTTTTGAGGAGCGTACCACTTCCACGCGATTTTAAAATACCAGTTACAGAACGTTATTTTAGAGCTTTATTCTAATGGAACATACCATTCCGGCGCGTTTTTTAAAATACCCGATTTCAAAGACAAAGACAGTCAGGTTAAACGCCGTTATATTTATATTTGTTCAAGGCTCCCTTAATATATTTTTTTTTCAATTTTCGGATAGCGCGTATTTTTTTAAAATTATGATAATTATGGGTAGGGAATATTTAATTTTTTCTTAATTTTCTTCTTTTTCTTAATTTTTCTTTCCGTGACCTTGTGCAACTTACACAAGGTCACGGTATTTTGGAGCGGTATTTTGGAACGTTATTTTTGTGTAGCGACCGTTCCTGGAGCGCGACACGGTTTTGAGCGGTATTCCCATCACTATTAATTATGTTTACTCAAACATGTTTAATCGACGTTTCGGGCTATTATAAGCCCATCATCAGGGTTTTAATATAAATCTAAAAGAACAATTACAATTTTAAGCAAAAAACAACGACGAAACATTTAGAAATAATACCTTTAAAATGTTATTAAAACCTTTACATGTTGTTAAAAGGCTGATAATTGCCATCTATAATTATTTTTTTGTAATTCGCTACGGTAATGGAAGCTATAACAGTACTGAAACGGGTGCTGTAATGAGACTCTTTACAGCATCCGATGCTGTAATGAGATTTTAGTAACATTTTATGGAACCAGTTCAAGTTGGTGACATTGGGTCATTAATTTTTCTAGTTCTCAATGTGACAATTTTTGGCTATGGATGTTTAAACACGTTCTTAGCATCAAATACAAGGTCCACAATGATGAGGACATGGACTCTGAGCAATTTCTCTTATTTTGGGAGGTGTACATCAAACATTTTTTTC